TATTCGTCTTTGCTTTAGAAGCAAAGTTAAGAAGAATCGTTGGGATAGTTAGCTGTGAAAGATGTAGTTAGAGATATCAGCAGATTTACGAAAGAAAGTGAATTGATGTTGTAACATATGCCTATCAATATGTTTCCTGATTCGTGCTCAAGTGTTTCAATATGTAACGGATTTTTCATTGCAGTCGGCTGTGAACAAGACCGCCTTAACAAAATTAATTCTGACCTTGAAAAACTTTCACTGAAAGAAGGAAAGGGAAAAGGGAGGCTTATGCCGTATTTTTTTTTTTTTTTTTTGATTTGTTTGATTGATGTCAAAGCCTTCGACAAGAAACGACTCAGTCATGTACAGACTAATAATATTGATATAACTTTGTCTATACCAAGGGGGTAGCCGAGTGGATAAGAATCGCGTTTATCAAATCAAGATTCATATGTAAGTGCGGTAGAGAATACTTGATCGTAACTGCAACTAGCGAGCATACACCGTATTTCTCTTTCCCGAATCCTTGTTGATCGTCGTCATCGAGGAAACATCCACTAAGTGATTGATTGCCTAAAAAAAAAAAAGAGGAGATAGTTTATGATGTGACATTCGACTGTAAAATAAGAAGCGACGGTCAACTACCACTAGATTGAATATGCATTCGCTTCAAAGTATATTTCATTCTGTTTGGTTCACGTACACGGTATATAGCTCAAATCGCATGTCTCGACACTTTAGCAACACCTCATATGCAATTGTATAAAAGGAAGGGTTTACTCAATCCGCGCACTACGAGGACCCTTTGAATTTAGGCGAATGCATACAACGGGTAGAAGGATTTGAGATAAGCCCACTTTTCATTATACCAATCAGTGGAGAGCAACTTTCAAAGCCAAGATTGCTTGTCCATCTATCCGCCTTGTTCTCTTGTGTTCAACCTACACATCATAATGTCTGAGATATTCTAATGAAATTGGATACACAAACGTGTTGTGCCCCAGCAATTAACACTGCTGGACCACTTATGCGACCGCTTCCTACATAACGCTCTTATTTTTAAAAATCCTTACAGAATTAATCGTAGTAAGCGACTGAGTGTAGGGTACGTAATGTATGTATGCTTTGAATACTTGACTTTTGTTTTATCCCGCTATGTACTTTGTATAGCCTTCAACGTGCATTTCCTTTCATGCATTGCAAGCAAGCAAAGTAAGATCAGCGTGCCTTCTTTCTTCATCTTCTCGTAATAAAACAATGTCTGTGCACAAGTTCTATTGTGTAATAAAATTAAAATCATAAGGTTATACTGAAATTTTCATTAAAGATTTACAAAATTAATTTGTTATGTTCTGCAATTTTGTAATGCGTTTGTCTTTTTCAAGTTTTTCAAGAAGTTCTTCAAGTATATTTTTTTATTTATTATTAAGCAAATCAAGCTTTATCTACTAACTTATGCATTGTTTCTCATTGTCGCGACAAGAGGAGAAAACGCAAGCATAGATATGTTACCAGATTTTACCAGATTTTATGTTAAAATATCATAAATATAGATGTGCAACTAACTGCATGTATATACATCGCATAAATATGTGTATATGAAAGTGTGCTGTATATGTACTTTTTGTACATGATACAAAGATGTGAATATATTTACACATGTACATAAATAAATCGGATAAAGAAGAAGACAACGAATACATGATAAAGACAAAAAAAAAAAAAAAAAAAAAAAAAAAAAAAAGAATAAGCAGAAGAAGAAGAAAGTATGTTAACATTATGGAGCAGGACATGCAAACGCAAAAGTTTGTTGGAAGTCTTATCTTTATACACAAAAGAGTACAAAAAACATGAAAACTAAATACATTTAGAGAAGAAAAATTGTTCTTATACTCACTACATATACATATATAGCATCTAAAGCAACGCTGAAAAGAGTTTATGGGCAATGAGTGTTTTTTCCCCAAATATACGGATAAAAAATTTATTAAGAAAAACATCCTCTCCTCTATACTTATTACATATGCTTAGAAAGATATATATATATATATATATATATATATACTTACTAAGTTATTTATTAATTAAATTGATGTCTTGTAACTCTACACATACAACCATACAACATGCATGCATATATGTGATAAAATCCATAGATAAGTGGTTGTATGTACTTGTATTATAATAATGTATTTACACCATCGTAGGATAAAGATAAACTAGTTTTATCATTCCGTTTGCAATATACTATGGATTAGATTGACATTGAATAGCAACTTCGATATGAATTTTGTGAGAACCATAGAAGAAATTTTTATGAAAATTTAAGGCATACCGTTGCTTTGCTTGTTTCAACTAAAAAGGTTAAATATGAAAATGAAAGTTATTTGCTTACACAGACGTCTACTGTATTCAATAAGTTGATAGGCGGTTGAGAAGGAAGATCAAAAATTTAATTTGTACACTTTTATCAATAAGGTGAGGTAGGTATGTAAAACAAATATTCGTTTGAACATTTATTAAAAATGTCTTAAAGTAACGTGAGTTTAATCCGCCTGTAATCAATATAACAGTAGAAGAGTCCGATGGGGTATACAAAGTGTATTTTAACACTCTTGCTACTTTCTTATATATTACTTTCACACATCATACCCTATATTTGATCTTAAAAATTACAATAATATGCTTTTGCTATTACGTGCTCATCTACATTCTTGATTTTATATATATGCATATATATATATATATAGATTATGTATACATAGATTTGCCATATCCATAACATAACATGTGCAACATTTTTTCCTTTAATGCTTTGCTATTTAGAAGAATTTTAAAATCATTCCTACATATTATTATTATTATTATTATTATTATTATTATTATTATAACTATTACTGCATAGTTACGTACATTGAGTGCATTCTTTAGATACCCTTAAGCATCCACTTGGCCGAAGCTATTCAATTGCTTTAATAAATTTATTTGTTCTAGAAAAATTCACTCCAATTGTTAAGATTATAATTCACTTCCTAGTACTTTGAAATTCTTGCAATTCATTGAACCACTTCTTATACACTCATTGTGCCTCTAAAGAAAATTGAAGAGACATCACGTGCAAAATTTATTTAAAAAAAAAAAGAAAGAAAAGAAGTGGATTATGCAAATGAGATCGGTCAATCTCGTTTTTTTGTCGCAAGAGCGAGAAAGCTTACATGCATTTGGCTGACTCCAACTGTTTCAGACTTTATTGTGGCACGCTGCTGAGCAATGTATCAATATCGATGAAGTTTCCACCTATCTGTGTTGTCATTCATAAAAAAAAAAAAATTTGCTAAACGAAAAAGTTCACAAGACAGTCAACCGATACATCTTCTAAAAGTCTAACGTCGACGTGAACTTAAGAATATTGTCCGGGAAAATGCTTCAAAGATGTTGTGATAAATGTTTAAACACTGTATTCTCTCTAATATATATTTATCTACTATACATTAAAATTACACAAGATACTGGTAATGAATTAAATAAATTTTTTAGGTCAATTATTTACCGCGAAGCTTTGAAAATCGCCGCCAATAGCAGGTAAATCTGCACCAGCTGAGAAAATAAATGTAATTTGGCTTAGAGCGAATTCAACGCTATGCATGTATCAATTGCTCATTTTTTCTGGTTGGCAAATGCCCTATTTCAAACAACATGCCTAGCATAGGTGTTATACTACCTCTATATATATATATATATATATATATATATGTAGTAATATAAAAAAAGCTATTGCTATGATATGAAGTAATCAAAGCATTACATATATATATGCAGACATATCAGGACGGGGATGTTAACACTTTTTTTTCTAAGTATGCAACTAAATGTAACATTAACCCTACACATGCCCAGTAAGTTTGGTAATCGAGTAAATTGATTTTGTCGTATAAAATTAAACTCTTAACGCCAAGGGTCCTGTGTTATGTCGACAGAGACAAACCTACTTATCTGCAACGAAAATTTTCAAAGTTAGTAGGAAATGATTGATGATGAGTGAAATTTCCTTCTTTTATATTAACTACATATATTGACTATTTATGTCGTTGACTTATGTCGTTTCAATCGTGAAATAGATACGTATCGTCCTGCCTAAGGCGGCAATATTGCAAAACGTAGAACTTGAGTTAATTTAAGAAGCAAGAGAATGTGAAATAATCTGAGGAAAAATATTGGCAATTATCCTATGCTGTTTAAAGAGAATACAAAATAATGGAGAAGCTCCCGTGAACAGGATGCAAGAGGGCTTTCGTTTATTTACTTCGGTATATCTAAACTCGCGGTAGCAGAGAGTAATTCGCTGATGGTAATACAGGTATCATAACAATAGCAATGAAAAAATTTCTAGCTTTTTGTTATTTGCCTTAGCACATTGTTGATGAATCTGGAAGGCATACTTGCGTGGCTTGCTTGTGGGTTTCGAATGTAATTCAAGAAATCTAAAGCTTACGATAACTTTCCAATTAGGAAATTCTAATAGGAAATTTTCTTAATCGCAGCTCATAGACATAACAAATGCGATTAAATGGATTCCGCTTCTTACGCTGACGTCGTATACGTTACCGTGGTACACTCGGCTCTACGATATTTATCAAGTCTAATAATAGATTTGAGACCAGTAGCTTTTATGTAATTGGATCGCTTTAAATAGATTAACTTATGGTAGTTTTTCCTGTGTAGGTTCATATCTTTGATAAATATTTGTCAACTTCGAGAGCATAATAACAAAGTTAACACACAATGCAACCTTTTACCTTTCAAATGTAAATGAAAAATATCGTACAATTTGAATTTAATGTCACTCCAAATAATGATGAAGAGAAAAAGACTATATCATGTTATTATATTTTTGATTGTTGTGTTGACTGCACATATTATTCTTTTAAGTTCTTTTGCTTTGCTAGGATTCGCGCTTAAGTAATATAACCGGAGTGTTTATTTATTTTCTTCTTCTTTTTTTTTGTTAATATTGCACTATGTCCCTCAAAGATGATAAAAAACCTGCTGTAAGATTGGCCAAAAGAAAATATAGCGATATAATTGTCATTATTATTATTATTATTAATTTTTGGCGTGCAGGGACGAAAAGTGGTCGTTGGTTTAAAAGACACCAGCGACTACATTGAACCGAAGAGAGAGCAATCACATCTTAGTGTAACGTCGAGGCATTCGGTACGGGTTACATTTCAAGAACTACTTCAGCGGGAAATAAATAAAGCTTTGCTTAGTCGTTCCCATTACCATGTTTATGATGTTAAGGGAGGAAAGAATTCAAAGGAAGTTACACCAAAACCGATTGCATTAGTGATTGATCGACCGCGTCACCCTCTATTAGATTCCAAATTGCCAGAGCTATCTGAAAAGGACACTGGAAGCTATCGAAGTACGCGTAGCGGTACAAGTTCGATAAGTCGTCACAAATCTACACGTGGATTGGGAATGAAAATATCTATTGATGATGTCATACTGGGGGTAAGGATTATCACAACTTATATATGTATTTAAATAATGATTGCATCGCATTCCATTGCATTGTAGATTGGCAGTGATCGGTTGCTTTTCCATTTCGATCCAGCGTATGCACAATATACGCTTGAATCTGATTCCTCATCGTTAGATGACAGTTTACCCGAAATGACGATATATACTTTGCCGTTTATACGCGTTATCCTTTGGAAAACGCAGCTGATACGCTTATACGAGCAAACGAGCGTTACGGTGCCAGGAGATACGGAAGAAAGCAAATTGGTTTTGAAGGATAATGATTTGTACGATTACTTGACAAGCCATCGGGGAAGAATGCGTCGCCGTTCGGAGGCCGAGGCTCAGACCATTTTAGCATTTCGTAAAACACGTGATATCAACACCGATCCCGTTATGAAAACTAGTACGGCCAGCTACGTATCGTTTTATGAAATGTTTGACACATATCGAATGTTAAGCAAAATGGGTACATCGAAGCCAAGCGCTGACGAGGAAAAATCGGTTGCAATCGCATTACAAAAGCTACCCTACAATGAACAAGTTAACGCGTTAGGTCGACTGCCTGCTTTCAATTTGGCCGGGATGGTCGTAATGCGTTTGTTGGCGGGAAATGAATATAGCCGATCGCAGAAACGTTTCCGAAAAATGAAAATCGTTGACCGAATGGTCAAACACATCAATTACAAATACTCACTGCTGCCGTTATTTACATTATTTCCATACACTACCGATGGCATGCGACGAGCAGTGTGTGATATTAGTTTCTGTGCTAAAAATAGCGATATTTTAGCAGTGGCTTACGGCATTTACTCATATTCAGCAGCCAAATTGTCTAAAACGGGATCAGTCTGCGTTTGGAGTATTAAAAATCCATGCAATCCCGAACGTCTATATAACTATGATTATCCAGTGGTGTCGGTATGTTTTTCACCATACATGGCCACTTTGCTCGCTGTAGGACTGTTCGATGGGTCAGTTGAGGTACGCGACGTGACTAAATACAATGAGCCTCCCGTAGCTATATCACAACGCAGCACATCGCCTTGCGTTGATCCCGTATTGTCAATTAAATGGATCAAGCAGGCCAAAGTGATTGATAGCGCAGAAATTGATCCGCTGTTGGCGCTATCACAAGACGGTTCTGTGACAAAATTTAATATAATTAATAGCCCATACTTGGCTGGATTTAAGCAGACCGTTTTGGAATGTGTGGAGGGTACACCTGAAGGTCTAAATTTCACAGTGACGCCAGAATTAGAAAGACAAACTATTCGGCGACCGCAGGGTTTATCTTTAACTAAACATCCTCTACAGCAGGATATCTTTTATATTCTCACCGATGAGGGCTGCCTGCATAAATGTTCAACAAATTATCAGAATCAATATCTGGAATTATTGAAAACGCATGATGGTGCTGTAAATTGCATGGACTTTTCACCATGGTCACCGAAATTGTTTTTAACATGCGGTAATGATTGGTAAGAAAATTGATTTGAAACGAAAACATGATGAATGTCAGCATAATTAAAAATTGAAAAACGTTATAACTTAGGTGCATACGTATATGGATGGACGGAATTTTTAGGCCGTTAATAACTATAAAAAATTTATATGCCCCGTATCAGTGGGCTAATTGGAGTCGTACACATTCTACGGTTCTTCTCGGCATTAATCGGAAACAAGTCGAAATTTGGGATATAAGACGCAGCGTCTTAAAGCCCATGTCTGCAACGTTTCTTGAAAATTCATTTAATACCTTAGCTAAGTAAGTATAAAATAATAGATCAAAAAAAAAAAAAAAAGATAGAATAGTTATCCAATTATTTGCCCGAACAATTATCGAAATTGTTGCAAGGTCAAATCCGGATTGGATTTGTTTAGGCACACTAGATAAGTTTATACTATAAAATACTATTACAATTAATCATCGAGTTTCATCTTTTTGCATACACAAAATACATACACCAATAACGTATATATAGTATTAAGTATTCGCATATATTTTTCAAATTTCCCGAATACCCGAACGATCAAGTAGACGCGTACACTTTTTGCGTGTATTACATATTCGGCTTAAGATTAATATTTTTTTGTTTTAAATTTAGATTTTCACGCGATGGCTGCAATATTGCTATTGGTAATGAGAAGGGCAATGTGCATATAAGTGCTTTAGACGAAATGCCTTTTCCGCCTTATTTTCAATATGAAGCTTTGGAAAAAGCTATTTACAAAGCCGTAGCCACTGATCCGGACTTAGTAATTGAATTAAGAAGCGTCGGTTATTTCGGTTATCCTAACAAAGCATGTGTTATCCCTTAAAAATATCGTACAAATTTGTCGATCTCAGTATATTTTGTCGTCTATTTTTTTGATTTTTAATAAATATGTGATGCACGTGTTTCTCTCTTGTACACATTTTTCTTTTTCTTAAACATTATTGGAAAATGCTTAGTTACATGATGATGTCTCCTTCTTCATTACCTAAGTATATTAAATGTTTTTCGCTAGCCATTATAGCATTAGTTGCTTGTATCCTTGTATCCTTAAGCTTTGTTACTTTCCATTATATCATTATTTGTAGAGCTTGTATCTATAATCCGAGCAATTTATTTTGTAATTGCTATCTTGTATATTGATAGATTATTATTCTTCGAAATTAATTATTTACTAACTCTCGATTGCTTCTCTTCACACAATGTCAATCATTTCGCATTCAATTATTGTGAATACCAGCAAAAGAAAAAAAAAAAAAAAAACAAACGCGATATATTAAATTTGTTTTCCCGTTTGTAGTACGCGAAAACACGCATCGAAGAACACAAAAAACACATCTAGTTCGGACAAATGAAAATTGACTATGAGCGTAACGTGTTGCAGTATACAAATCCCTTTAATAAGTTGAATAAATATCCTGCAACAGATTATTCCTTATATTATTATATTTTGCTTTTCAAGGTACTCTGCAGAATTAAGATGTGTTCCGATTCAGGAACAGTTCCGTAAATAATTATGTTATTGAATAAAATTGTATCCAATTGAGCTCTAATCTTTCCCCCATACCACCTTTGCTTAAAAACAAGCACAGACACTATAGACACCAATATCCACTTTACTTATTTACTCAGTTGGTTGTTCATATAACGAGTCTTCAAAAAAGTGATTGAAAATGATCGAAAGTGGTCTTGCAATAGCGTACGTCCATGGATCAAAACAAGTTCGTGTAGTAAATTTCGGATTGAGCACAGAACTGGCAGATGGACCAGCGGATAGACGGACAGACAAGCTTAGATAAAAGTTCAAAAAATGCCACTGTATCTATGGGTACAATAAAAGATGGATGAAGCTCAAGTCATTCGTACGTTTGTACGCACACGCGTACAAACTTATTACATCTCTACACTACCACAAGTGATGTAGAGTACAAAAAAAAAAAAAGAAAAAAGAAAAACTAAAAGTAGGTAGTTTCGGTACTCTATAATATTGAGAGTAAATGGGGTGTGACAGATTTTTTTCCATTTTTATCCAATTACTATATGATAGTAAAATACGATGGTAAATTTTGTAATATAAATATAAAAATAGTGAAATAATGATAATAGAAACTCATCAAATAAATTCTTTTTTTTCTTTTTTTACTATAATTTGCAAGAAAAAAATAAGTGATAAATGATATCGACAGAATATTATTCGCATGGGTAGTCGACTATGTAAGAATCGCGACTATCAAGTGGAATGTTCGCGAGTTCAAATCACAGCGCGGTAGCATTTACTCCGCTCGTTACTATAGCGAGCAAAACACTCACCGGTTGCGCAACACATATCCACTAGGTTGCAGTCACAGGCTTCCTATTTCTCTCGTTCTTTCTTTTTCCCCACTTACTTCCAGCTACGATACGCGCATAAAGGAGCAGGGAAATAATTAGTGATATCAAGGGAAAAAAGTGAGCAAAATGCTATTTTACTTGAAACCGTCTCTGCTCTTTTCTCACGAATAACACGCGCACGATAGTGTGGGTGAATGAGGCGATTGAAAATTCACAGCCTATTGAACTAAACAAATACTCCGACAGAGTTATATCGCACGATCTTGGTGGCAAGCTTGCATAGTCTTTTTTAAACAGAACATAGTCATTGATGTCTTCTCGTAATACACTGCCACGAAATGTAGGGCGTGGTGCAAACTTTTTGTTTGAAATCACATATCGTTCTGGTCGAAAACAGTTATCGTATTTCCTTAGCGTTCTTCATTGTGGGGCAACTGCAATGCCATTTTCATGTTGAAAAATGAAATTTTCACCCCTTAAACCAAAACCCATAGTTAATTCTTATGCATGTACAAGTTTTTTGTAGCACGAGCAGTACATCTTTCTTTCCACTACAGGGTCCACGTTGTTTATTTATATGAAGTAATTCAAGCAAATATGCGTTTCATTTCACATCCGCGAAGCTTAACGGTGGATTCATCGTTTTCATGATAAGTTTTAGCATATTTTGTACCCTACACAACCATATATATGCACTGCATTCAACAAATAATAGCGAGGGGCAAGCAAAACGCAATTTAATGCAAGCCTCAATGGAGAGTGTGATTTATTTTACATTCACAAAATGAATCCTTTCCTATCCACGTGCTCAAAACTTTTGTAAAAAGGTCAACATTTAATTCATATTATGAACGATGCAAACTCTTTGATTATCGTTTCATTCGCAATCTGTCATTATGTGCGAGCAGGAAAATGGGCAGAATGAATAAACTAACTATTTATAATGTCGTTGACTAAGCAGCAGACATTCTATGCATGTTCTTATAGTTTACGTTTTGATATCGCAAATACACTAATGTAACTAACTTTCTATTCCGGCAGATAGTACACGCATTAAAAGGATGGTTAAAAAAAAAAAACAAAAAAAAACAACATTTTCTCTGCTTGTTTTTTTTTTCTAGCATTCAGTCCAATGAATTTTGAATTTTGCGTAATTATGAAAAAAAAAAAAAAAAAATTTACTTAAATGATATTTTACTGAATTGTATAAATTATGAAAGAAGCAAAAGAAAATAAGCTTCAGCTTTTAGTTTTATGTTGTTATCATTGAAAACACTTTTAATTAAATTTTTTTTTTTTTTTTTTCTGCTCTAAAAAAAAAACGTAAATATCAAAAAAAAACCATATATATATATATATATATATATATATAAATAAATAAATTTTTTTTATTTCTTTTTTTTTTTATGAAAACAGAAATCTGTGAATAGCAAACCTTTTAATATGATGGGTTTGAAATGTAATTTTTTGCTTATAAAGCAAACATGAAAGTTAATATCATGCGAATGCATCAAGTATTTTCATTCATGGCAATGATTTAATGTATTGGGTTGGTGCATAATTATCACGCGTTTCTCTGTAACGTCCCATATATATACATTTTAATTATTTTACAATTATTCATAATATTTATAAATTTTTGACTGAAAATATGCTTTATTACTTTTACTTTTACTTAATAAAAATACGTCTCGGTAATCATACTCATATTTGTCATACTACGCTGTACCTATCGCTTTTAAGAAAGGAGATAGAAGGCAGCGCAGACATTTCGCAATTTCAACGAACTTTTGGATGAGGGCACAAGTAGCGACGGTTCAGACAGTCAATAGTTTGTCCATTACTAATCTGGCGGCACTAGCTTGGCGGATAAGCCAGGCAAGGGTCGTTCATCAAATTGGAAGACAGCGAAAGCTTGATAAAGCAAACGCTGGCCGACAACTTCAATGTGAACTATTCATTCAATTGTTGTTTGTCGTCTTAAAACGCACAAATAGTGGATGCCGTCTAAGCTCTGATAATTATGCACCCACCTATTATATAATTCATTTTTAAGCTGAAAACAAGTACAAATTATTTTATTGAAACAAGTTTTTATTTATGCAGACAAAATAGTTAAATATTTCAACTAGACATACATGTCTATACAAAGTCGCTATAATGGTGAGGGGAGAGCGACGCCCGCAATTTATAAAACGCAATTTTTTGTAGTCGTATTCAAAAATCCCATTAACTGAACCACACTTAAATCAAGTATCAATTTTTTAAAAATTCATTTTATCATATTTATGCGAACAGGGTGCTTGCAGTGACAGTTTAGTGTTTTTTTTTTTTTTTTTTTTTTGCCGCCATCTAAACGTACAAGGATTTTGATAATTCATTTTTGCTATTTAGGAAATGCGCCAGATGTGCGTCAAATTCATATAATAGCTACATGTTTTAATCGGATTCATAATTAATGATTAATTGTTACGTTATATTAGGTTAAATCAATGCATATAACATATGCTCATAAAAGTCAATTCACTGTTTAGGGGTCGAACTTGAAATCGTTTTGACGTTGCAACAACAGGCTTAACAAGGCATTGCAACATGTGCATATATATAGTACTGTTAACATTGTAGAGAGCGCGTATTAAGAAGAAAATTTCATGAAAAATCTCAAAAAAAGAAGTCAATCAAATATTAATTAATAAGAGAAACTGGCAACGATCGGCCAGTGACGTAGTGACGTTTAATTACAGATTCTGCTCGAGTTTAAATTATTGGCAATGGTAACGAAATTCGTCATTTTCTTTACGCTCTCCACAATAACGGATGTAAGCACCGACAAACGTATCGCAGAGGCATTTTGCACGGGGATAGACTTAAATGGTAAGCAACGAAAGGTAAGCGAACAAATAAATGAATAGAAAAACGCTCAAATATATATATGAATCTAAATAAAGACAGGAATAACGAGTGGCTGATGAGTACTGAGCCTACAAAAGTATACAAGCAAGAAAAGAGAAAACTAACGTATAATAAAAAAACATATTTATTGAATTATTTCGTTAGAGGTTACGGCAATTGCCGTACAAGTCCTTTCTATCCATGTCGCCTGCTTCTACGGTGAAGCCAATACTATTAAAATCACTTTGAAAGCTTCGAATAGTTTATATAGCTTTATGCGTAGAAAAACAAAGACCACAATTGCATCTTTATAACGTTGTTAGCCAATTTTGTTAATAGGCTTTTAACACTGAGAACTGCGAATTAAACAAACTAAATCCTAAGTAAGCCTTTTAAGATTGGAAACTATTCGCATGTTGTTGTAATTCTCGATATGCAAAAATTAAGACAGAACGCATAAAATTTGTAAGCTTGGCACATTTAAAAAAGGGGGAAAAAAAAAAGCTCAACAATATCTGAAACTTTAAGCTTACGCTTGTCAAAGAGCTTTATTACCTAAAACATACTTACAATACTTATATATTAAAACTAAAGAAAACTAAG